GGGAGGCTGAGGCAGGAGAATCTCTTGAACCCAGGAGGCAGAAGTTGCAGTGAGCTGAGATCGCATCATTGCACTCCAGCCTGGGTGACACAGTGAGACGCTGACTCAAAAAAAAAAAAAAATAGGTGAATGGTCCCACCTCCTGTGTTTTGGTAAGGATGACATGAGCCCACACATCAGAGGAGGACACAGAATATTCTGGGTGCACACCACGTCTGTGTACATTAGCGTTTGTGTGTTTGTGCTTTCTGCCTCTTTTCTTTACCCAGCAAGCCTCCGTGAACACAAATGTCCTGTCTTCACTACAGTTTTACAGTTTTGTGTTTTATATGTATTTACTTATTTATTTTTTTTTATTTTTTTTTTTTTGAGACGGAGTCTCGCGCTGTGTCACCCAGGCTGGAGTGCAGTGGCGCAATCTCGGCTCACTGCAAGCTCCGCCTCCCAGGTTCACGCCATTCTCCTGCCTCAGCCTCCGAGTAGCTGGGACTACAGGCGCCCGCCACCACGCCCGGCTAGTTTTTTGTATTTTTAGTAGAGACGGGGTTTCACCATGTTAGCCAGGATGGTCTCGATCTCCTGACCTCGTGATCCACCCGCCTCGGCCTCCCAAAGTGCTGGGATTACAGGCTTGAGCCACCGCGCCCGGCCGCGTGTTTTATATTTAAGTCTAATCCTAGGACTGGGTGTGGTGGCTCACACCTATAATCCCAGCACTTTGGGAGGCAGAGGTGGGAGGATCACTTGAGCCCAGGAGTTTGAGACCAGCCTGGGCAACATGTCGAGACCCCATCTCCACAAAGAATAAAAAATTCCCCGGGTGTGGTGGCAGGCGCCTGTAGTCCCAGCTACGAGGGAGGCTGAGATGGGAGGATCACCTGAGCCCAGGAGTTCAAGGCTGCAGTGAGCTACGATGGTGCCACTGCACTCCAGCCTGGACAACATAGTGAAACTCTGTCTCTAAAAAAAAATAGAAAAAGAAAAAAAAGAAAAATTGCCAGGCAGGGTGGCTCATGCCTGTAATCCCAGCACTTTGGGAGGCTGAGGATGGCGGATCTCCTGAGGTCGGGAGTTCGAGACCAGCCTGGCCAACATAGTGAAACCCCATCTTGCCGGGTGCGGTGGCTCACACCTGTAATTCCAACACTTTGGGAAGCCAAGGCGGGCAGATCACCTGAGGTTAGGAGTTCGAGACCAGCCTGGCCAACATGACAAAACCCCGTCTCTACTAAAAACACAAAAATTAGCTGGGTGTGGTGGTACATGCCTGTAATCCCAGCTACTTGGGAGGCTGAGGCAAAATAATTGCTTGAACTTAGGAGACAGAGGCTGCAGTGAGCCGAGATCATACCACTGTACTCCGGCCTTGGCAACAGAGTAAGACTCCGTCTCGGGGAAAAGAAAAAGAAAGAAAGAAACCCCATCTCTGCTAAAAGTACAAAAATTAGCCGTGTGTGGCAGCGTGCACCTGCAGTCCCAGCTACTCGGGAGGCTGAGGCAGGAGAATCGCTTGAACCTGGGAGGTGGAGGTTGCAATGAGCTGAGATCACACCACTGCACTCCAGGGAGGTGGAGGTTGCAATGAGCTGAGATCACACCACTGCACTCCAGCCTGGGCAACAGAGCGAGACATGGTCTCAAAAAAAAAAAAAAAAAGAGAAAGAGAAATCCTGGGAGCTCATTTGCAGGAAGACCCTGAGACTTGGACAGGCCCCGGGGAGCCCAGGCTATACCTCAGGCCCCTTTCTGAGCACCCTGACCTTCTAGGTGGTGCCCAGGCAGTCTCATGCACACGCTCTCTCCCCAGCATGACCAACGGCGGCAAGACCACGCTGACCAACAGTCTGCTCAGAGCCCTGCCCAACTGCTGCGTAATCCACCAGGATGACTTCTTCAAGGTGCCTGCCCTCGCCCAGGGAGGTGGAGCCGGGAGGGGACACAGGGCGGGCAGCCAGGCCCCAGCCAGCCCCGCCCTCCGCTGCCCAGTGCCCATGTGGGCTGGGCACCGGCTCTGCTCCCTGCCTGACCCCTCCCGGGGTCTCTGGGATTAACTGGGCCAGGAGAGCTAGGGATGGGTGTCGTGTTCCCATTTCCTGAGCACCTGTTTCGTACCCATCCCATTCTCACTGGACATCCCTACAGTGGGGACCCCGATTAGACGGACGGGAAAATCACCATTCCTCAACAGGACCAGCCGACTATGGCTTTCTGGGCGAACACCCTTTATCCCTCCCCACTTCCCCTTTCCCATCTGCAAAATGGCCTCTGAGCCCAGCTCGCTGCGTGGGTGGGGGTGAGGGCTAATGAGGTGATTGATGGTCTGGGGAGAATCTGAGGGTCAGCCAGAGCCCCCACCCCTCAGGGACCTCGGACCCTGTCAGCAGCAGCTCCAGCGAGGGACCCCGTAAGACTCCATCACCCAGGGCGGGGGTGAGGCGGGACCGGGCACTGGGCCCGAGATTCAGGCTCCTCTGTTTCAGCCCCAAGACCAAATAGCAGTTGGGGAAGACGGCTTCAAACAGTGGGACGGTAAGGACAATGGCAGCCCCTGCATCACCTCCAAGCCCCACTGTCTCCCGGGGTTCGCCTTCCCGCAATGCCTGCTCCCCTCCACTTCCCCCGGGTCCGCCCTCCCGCAATGCCTGCTCCCCTCCACTTCCCCCGGGGTCCGCCCTCCTGCAATGCCTGCTCCCCTGTCCCCAGTGCTGGAGTCCCTGGACATGGAGGCCATGCTGGACACCGTGCAGGCCTGGCTGAGCAGCCCACA